AATAGGGTAGATGCCTAATTTTTATTTTAATGTCCGTCTGGTAGATTATTTTAAATCATTAGACACGTATTTTTTATTTTCTTACAGAAACGAATACTTTCGACGATATATTGATTTGAAATGTCGCGTGACGTCACTTCTATGTACATTTTATACGTAGAAATGACGTTTTAGCCCCCACTCCTAAACTTTGATTCGTTTTATCTAAGTATTGTTTTATTATATGACAAAATAAAAAGATACGTGTATAATATTTTTTCATTACCTAACTGACGGACTAAATGGATATTTAATTTTCATACCCTGTCATCATCCCTATTATTTCTCCCGCCTGGGTGAGGTGGGATGGAGTGTCAATCTCTTACTACAAAGTATAAAGTTAAGGCTCGAAGCAGGAGAAGGAACGGCGTGGTTTTTAGTCAGTAAGAGTCTGACGCTCCCTCTCGCTTTAAGGTGGGAGAAATCATTGGATGATATCCCTTCCTCAAAAAAAAGGCATTAATTTAAATTATATTTTTGTAAAATGTTAAGATAGAATTGTACGTCAATTTATCCGTATTTTTTTTATCAAAAATTGAATAGTCCGTCTTTCAATCAGTCAGTTAAGCTAGGCGCTCGTCGAACCTAGCACTTGTCGACCTGAAATCCAGAACTGCTGAACAATCTTGTCATAATCCCGAATTTAAGTGTAGGAGAGCCATGCTTCGGCACGAATGGGCCGGCTCGACCGGAGTGATACCACGGCCGAGCAGAAAACCGACGTGAAGCAACGCTTGCGTTGTGTTTCGTTTAACGATCACTTACAGATTTCATCAATCAGTTCGGAGATGTACACAGCTGAGCGGTGAGCTGGCACCTTCTCCTGCATCGTGTTGCCACTGGCATCCATCCTGAAGTTGCCCACCTGGAAAAATAAGATATATTTATGAACTCTTTGTATAAGGGCTTTTTTAAAGGGGAAAATTGTAGTGTTTAAAAATCCTAATTGAAAAACATAATAGACGCTTTACTCGCCCCTACAATTTTCGAAAGTTCCCCTCGGTTTTCCTAGGATCCCATCATCAGATCCTGAGCTCATGGAAATGGGACCACCTCGGGAATATACCCTTTCAAACAAAACAAGAATTTCGGAAATCGGTTCACAAAGAATTTTGGAAAGCAGAGTAATGCGCGAACAAACAAAAAAAAACAATCAGCCGAACATAGTACCTCGTCCTTTTTTTTAATTCAGTAAAAATTGAATGACTTCTCCCGCCTGGGTGAGAAAGAGTGTCAGACTCTTACTGACTAAAAACCTCCTCGTTCCTACTCCTGCCCTTCGAGCCTGAGCCCCGGCAACCTGTTAAGTTCTCTGCGGCATTTGTGAACAGTAACTCTTTGTGTAAGATGGGTTAGTACCTTTTAAAGACCTAAAATAGAGAAGAAAAATTCATCCAATGACTTCGCCCACTTGGGTGAGGCGAGAGTGAGTGTCAGACTCTTACTGACTAAAAATAACACCGTTCCTACGCCTGCTTCTAGCCGGGGCCCCGGTAAAACTATGGTATAGCATTATAAGTAGTATTTGTGACGTTCTTGTATTAGATATTCATAATTATGTGTGTGTTAGGCGCCACAGCCCGCATAACGCAAGTGATTTAATGATCATTCTGGTGAAAATGGATTCATGCTGTTGCCCGTACTTTGGGTACATATGTAACTAAACCACAGAACATATAAAGAAGAACTAAACATATAATAATAAAACTTTACGGTTTTTGATCCTAGTAATATCTAGAACAAGCTGTCAGATCTTTTTAACTGACTTCAAAAATAGGAGATTCTCAATTTGACTAGTACGTATGTATGTTTTTTTATGGCATAAGCCGGTAAACGAGCAGACGGATCACCTGATGGTAAGCAATCGGCGTCGCCCATGGACACCTGGAATACCAGATGCGTTACAAGTGCGTTACCGGCCTTTTGGAGATTTGAGGATTGTTGGGGATTCTCGCTCACGACAAAACAACGCAAGCGTTGCTACATATTGGTTTTCTAATCGGCCGTGGTATTACTCCGGTCGAGCGGTTTTTTTTTTGTAACATAACTGGGATGGGTTAATAATATGAACTAACTTTGGACTATTGTTTCATTTATTTTCAAAGCGATAAAACTTAAGAACGAAAGAGAGGTATTTATATTATTCTAGTCTCTTCTATAGTTGTCTTTTGTTTCATTTTAATCCTCAAGAATAATTTGCTCCAGGCCTTCACACTGGCAAAATATTGTAGCATTTTTTAATTTTGTAAAGTTACCTGAGTACGTGTGGTATTTAAATGTTTTTTTTTTCGATTTTTCGATAATAAAGACTGTATTGGAATGAGAAACTGTTTTTATAGGATTTCCTGTCAATTACTCACGTCTCCGGCGACAGAAGAAAAAACATCACGTCTTATATCCCCGAAGGGGTAGGCAGAGGTGCACATTACGGCACTTAATGCCACTGTACAATGTGACACCCACTTTTCACTATTTATGTTATGAGTCCCATGTAATAGGGGGTGAGCCTATTGCCATATACCGGGCACAATTCCAGACTCCGTGCTATTACTAAGAATTAAAAAAAAACCAGTTATACTTTGGCCGACCCGGGAATCGAACCCGAGAGCTCTATCGGTCAACGAGGCAGTCATAAATAAATACTTATTTAGGGTGTTAGAAAACCGTTACAATATGAATTTTAGAACATAACAAGTTATGTTTTAAAATTCATATTCCACGTGGACATAGTCGCAGGCAACAGCTAGTTCGCCCCGGCCGTCGCGAGAGACACTCCGGGCACCGTAAGCGCGGGCCTGCGGACGGCGAGCACGGGTGACTCGCCACCCGACCAGAACCAGGCCCGAGCGTACGGCGCGAGCTTTATCTCAAACCTCAAGGAGCCATCAGACCACCACAGATGGAGCCCAACAGGGCTGTTGCCGATACGGAGCCGCCAAAGACTGAACGGGTTGCCGAGGCTCCGACTCAAAGTGCAGGAGTAGGAACGGGGTGGATTTTAGTCAGTAAGACACTCAATCTCGCCTCACCCGGGAAGGAGAAGTCAATGGATGATTTAAAAAAAAGGCCACAACTAGTTAATAAATAAATGTGTAGGTAATTAGATAACAGGTACAGGTAGCTTATCATCTAAGCTGTACAAGTATTGATTTCATTTATCAATACACATTATCATTGTACAATAGTGGATTTTCCCTTAAACCATTTTCAATCATTGAAGTAGTATTTTGAACATTTTCTTGTGTGAATGAAATGTTGCAGCATTTATTTTTAATTAGCTTTTACCCGCGGCTTTGCTCACTCCTGTTTTATGCCATAGGACCACTTAATCAGGATAAAAATATCCTATCACCTAAGTCAGCCTGTATATCAAATTTCATAAAAATCCGTTCAGTACTTTCAATGTGATTGACGGACAAACATCCAAACAATGAAATTTTCACATTTATTGGTGTGATTATTTTTCATAAACCATATTCTTCCTATCCTATCCTACTCATTTAATAAATGCAAACATTTGGTATGTGGCTATCTGTATGTTTGTAAGTCCTTTACACTAAAACTACTGAGCTGATCTGAATATTTAACACAGAAATAGATAATAGTCTGGAATAATACATAGATAAGCTACTCTTTTACCCTAGAGACGCAGGTGAAGACACTAGCAGATGCTTAATATGTTGATATATCATACTGAAAATTAGTTCATACAAAAGTAGTCTGTAAACATCAGAAATAAGGTTAAGGTTGGAGTTAGCGGAGAGTGGTCACCGGTGAGTGCTTGGGGATCGAGCAGTTATTTCATATTTACATTGATCAATGGCGTAATAACTGAAAAATCTTATTGGTGTCTAACAAAAGCATTTTATAAACAAATGTAGTCTTTTTTTAAGGGGGGAAAATCATCGAATGACTGCTCCTGCCTGGGTGAGGCGGGAGGGAGTGTCAGACTCTTACTGACTAAAACCACCCCGTTCCTACTCCTGCATATCGATCCGGAGCCCCGGTAACCCGTTAGGTTCTCCGTGACAAATATAAAGTCTAACACCCAATACTGAAAGATTACTCAATTTTAAGTATACCACTGTGACTACAAATTCTTTGTAAAATTACGGAGATGATATATGACAGAGAAAGTGTGGGAAAACCATGATTCGGCAAGAATGGTCTGGGTCAACCGGTGTACTACCAGGCCCTCAGAGACAACTGACGTGAAACAATGCTTGTGTTGTGTTTCGTCGTGTGAGTGAGGACCCTCATTAGGTGATCTGTCTGATTGATTACTGGCCATGGAGTTTAAGAGATGGCACGATATTTGAGTAAAGTAATTGTGTAGCCTTTCAGTAATCAGGCATAGAGTTTATAGTCGTAGTTAGTACACTTGACTGATTGAATCTTGATAATTTTATATCAAGGTCAGAGGAATATTGAGAGCTGATGTCAGTTCAGAGATGTGCAAAATTAACATCAAAAAATATTTGACTTGCCTTCGAGAGGAAACTGATTTTATTTACTTTTTAATAGTTGCAAAAGACTGTAAGGCTAACTTTTTAATTCATTGCGGAAATACCTACTCAAACATCACTCAATTATTTGAAGTCGCACTTAAGTAGGTATATTTCTGTCTCTACAAATTCTTTGAATAATGACAGGGATGGCACGATATTCAAGTTCAACTTAATATTTTCTTTCAATATTCGGGCGTAAGACACAGTTTTTAAATTAAAGACCTTTCATTGATTACTTTGAAGTTGAAATTAATCAAGTTACACTATTAAAATAGTTGTTTAATTTTTTTACATGCTCGTAAAATTGTACTCTTAATGTTTACATAGCACTTTAAGTTATCAAACAACTTAGATCGAGCAAGAAATTGCAGAAGTCTATAGTAATAAAACTTATAACAAGTTTAATGTACTAGTTTAATACTTACATCGACTTTTTTCCATTTATCTACTTTTTTTATCACATCGTTAAGCTCCTCGAAGGTCGTCCGGCATACTGAAATAATGATAATACCAATTAAAACCCACAAGTTATTGAAATTAATTTTAAACTATTCGGGAAATACACACCTAAGCACTTCAAGTTTTTAGGGTCTATCCGCGCTGACACCGCGACTAATAAAATTGTGAACGCAAAGAAAGCTACAGCTGAACGCATTTTTAACCACTTATTAATAATTTAACACGAATTTAGTGTTTAAATAACGAGAAAAACTTTATAAATGTCGGAAATTCTCAATACGTGTTGGAAGAAGTTTATCTTTTGCTGTCAAAATCTGTCATCCACGATGTCTAATCTCATTGGTCGAGACTCAACATATTTTTTTTTAAATAATCTTTATCCCTATTGGTTAAAAAATGACAGAGAGAACCCAACTTATTATAATGGCTTATTTATCAATAAGCACAACTGATCATCAATAGCTCATTACAATAGGTAGGGTTATCGTGGTATTTTATAACAAACCTCTTTCCATTTTTCTGTGTTTTCCGAATTTCAATCATTATCAAATCAATCATAGGTCTATATTTATAATTTAGCGAAAAAACCACACATGTAAATATCATGAGTAAATAAATACTATGGTGTTTTTTAATTGACAACATTATAACAATAAATCATTATGTTTTTGCCTCTGCTTTGTGAGTGGTACGAAACAGGAAAACATGTATGTCAAGTTAATCACTAACCATCATTTTGTTAGAAAAAACTACCTTTTCCCTAAATGTAATAATTTCAAAAAACATTTTATATTTTTCAAACCCTTCCATGTTTTTATTATCGAAAAGTACACCGTTTTAAAAATATTAAAATCGTGCCCTTTCTGTCTCCCTCGATCGCCCGTTCTCCGGTCTTCCTCCCTCCGCCCGCCGCCCGCCGTCCCCCACCTATCAACCGACCCAACCAAACCAAACTAACCAACAGTTCGTATTCGGTCTCTATGCGCGCCGGACGTTTATTCAACGGCATGTATAATTTTTTTATGCACATCAAATTGTTTAAAAACCTTAAAATACCTTGAATATTGTTGTTGCATCGTCTCGGAGTGACGTTCCAGTGAGTTTAGTGAAGAAATACGCACTTTTCGTGTAAAAATCGAGGTAAGTGACTCGTTGACAGATTGCGTCTTTTACTATTTAGAGCTTATTATCAATTTTTTTTTGTTGATTTTCATTGCTTTCTTATATTTAGATAGAAATTAGTAGCAAAATAATAGTTTGTTGGACATTGCCATATTGCCTGTTACGACTTGTCCGGCGCACCTGTGCTATTACCATACGCTACTCACTATGTCCGATATAGTATTGCATATTTTATGTAACCTTTCAAAAAATCATCTTATCATTCGACTGCGTCATGTGCAGTTAGAAAATCCCAATTTCATAATGAGAGAGCGCGCGATCGCACAAGCTGACGACTTGGCAACGCGCTGCCATCCGATAAAACTTGTTAAAAAGTTAATTTATCAAACAAAAAATGTGTTATTATCCGTGGACCGGCGTTTCCCTTTGTTTTCCGTGTGAAATCGTCCCTTTGTCCTTCGGTAGGGCGCGCTGGGCGCGTCGCTGCACAGGAATTTCGACTCTAGAAAAGTGGCATAATACAATGATGGTATACATTGGTAGGTCGCGCAGCTCGTCGCCCGCTCGCGTCGTTTTCACAACGCCTGTGTTCGTGCGTATCTACGTGGACGACGTCAGTGTGCTCGTGCGGTAGTTTGTTTATAGTCACTACCGCACAAATACGACGTCTATTATTGTAGCAGCAAGGCTCAGTATCGTATGTAGGTCGGCGTCCTCGTCGGTGTTTGTCTATCGATCTCTGCGGTGGCCAATGGCACATGTCGGCGCGGTCCTGCGCGGCCGCGCCTCGCTCCGGTCTTTGGTGAAAGCCGGGCGCGCTCGGACGATATATTACAATTCATGTACATCTATACGATGTCTATAAGTACTATCTTATCATTGGAACGCTGTTATAACACTAACACCCCCCACCCTACCTCCCCGCCTGCGAATACGAAGGCCTACTAGATCATGAGTTTTTCAAATACGAGCCCGCGAAGTTGATGTATAAATTGAAATCGTGAATGTTTTGTCGAGCGGTGTTTGGCGACCTCCGGCGTCACGGTGCGCGGGGGGAGGGCGCCAGAAATAGAAGTGCGGATTGGAAACGTGCGACGTGGCAACGTCGCGCGCTTGTCCGAGCTCAGTGTCGGTTCAAAATGGCGTCTGTGCGTGATCGATACCGCGGAATTTGCGTTGAAAATGACCGTATTTGTGATGTATCTGGTTGTGAGTCGGCCGGATGGCTACCCTGGCAGCACGGGGCGTTCGCCCCGCACCCGGCGCTGGCTCACGAACCTCTCAATGTACGTATCTCAACCATATTGCGCCGACACTCTGCCCCCTACATAAATACCTAGGTATGGCTAGGGTACGCTTACAATCTCGATGATCTAGACATCTACAGCATATCCAATATTCGCTATTGAGATATCTTGAACTTTCAGGGTGCACTGTGCTCGATGCCCGAGCTATCGTATGCATTATACATCGACTGACAACTTCCTATGGTTACGTAACATGTGTATTTTTGTTGAGGAAAGTGTGATGTGGCTTTCTTTGAATGTGCCTATTTAATCTATGAATCTCTTGCCTATAATGAAAAGAGAATAAATCGAGTCTCATCATTCGTAAGTTGCATCTGATAAATGGAAACAAAATGGCGGCGCTGTAAAATTAAGACGCAGTAGCGCGCTGAATGTTGGCAACGTCGCGCTTCACGGCCGGTAATTGTGAGTAGTCAACTCACTTGTTCGATAAGAAGTTTCAAGGCTATACGTTTTGTATCCTCCGATTAACAATGGGATAAATTTAATACAAACGATAAACGAGTTTAATACTTAACGCCAGGGTATTGGTGTTATAATTAAATTTTAGTTATGTCTTATGTTTGTGTGGGTCACTCACACACAGATGAGCTAATTGAGGTTAATACTTGGCGTGTTTGTTGTATACCTGTTTACGGGTACACATACAAGTAAAGTAATAAACAAACTAGGTTGTTATTGAGTAGACGAGAGCCTTAGATAGAATAATGGTGCGCTCATAATCTGTATACTTAAGTATATGTTTACATCACACGGGCCTCGGGCCGATTGTAAATATTGCATATTTATGATTAATTTATATTTTACGAATGGTTATTTCTGTGCTATATTTTATGTCCTGTCGTAAATTCGATTGTTTGCTTCGATGGAATTTATAGTTTAGGCCTTAGGAACCTTTGTGCATTCTTGACCTCTGAAGGAATGTGATGATGGTTGTGTATTCGTTTTTGTTGCTATGCGCCTTGGGGAAGGTCTTGTTTTTGGCCAGCTGACGTCTACATCCTGCCAAAACATTCATTCATAAGTCTAAAGTTGCTACAATCTTCACTTTGTTTATAAATACTCAAATAGAAGGGTTTATATTCGCATTTTCGCCAGGTTATCGACGTTATACCTTTTTGACTTTGACTTTTATTCAGTTCGTTCTCTGAAGTTGTTCTGAAGGTGATCATAGCATTGACTTCTGTTATATTTGGTTTTTTATTAGTTGTCCTGTTGAATTATACAATTTGACCCTGATTTTGATTTCAAATAAGCTGCATTAAGATCCAAATATGGATAATTTATGCCTTTCTTATTTGGTTTTATATATCTTGTCACCTGTTGTAGTGTCATTTTAGTGTTAGATTTGTTTAGAATGCGTGGTTAGTTCTTCATAACTATGAGAATAGAATGTTTTTAGGAATATAAAGAACTTCATAGACCTATTTACCTGCCTAATTACTAGGTTTCGTTGCTAACTAAGTAGTAGAGAGCATCAGAAGGCGCATTTATAAGGTTTCTAGAATAATATCAGTTAAGTAGACACTGTCTTTGTAGAAACATCAAAGTGTATTTTACTTTACATATAAAAATATAGATCACATGAACTTAGGGAAACACGCTTAAAGATAAATTTGTTTGCCCTATTCCAAGATTAGATAAAAGATATCCGGACTGTATGAAGTAATGGTACCAAAAAGGGACTTAAACCGGTCTAAATTCAAAGCAGTAGTTTTAAAAACGGTTAATTCAGCCTGTGGCAGCTGTTCACATTTAATACATGTTCCAAAATGTCAAAAACAGCAGGATGTACTTAATACCCAGATAAAAATACTTGTTTCGAAGAAATTGCAATTAAATATTTGCTAGAGGTAAAAGTAATAATTTCTCGTCCTTATTGTGAATGAAGACTATTCTTTTAAAATGCTGATCCATTGATAAGTTTATAGTTTCAAAATCCATAAAGCCCTATGTATTGTTATTTCGGTACCATCGGGAAAAGTCTCGAAATGTAAGAAAAAAAAACAAACAAACGAGTACACTCAAACCATATGTTTTTTTGATCTGGTAGGGCCTTTCGACCCTACCAGATGATTGATATTGTTTCCAAAACAATACCATTTTTGCCTACCTGAACGTGGGATCTTTTTTTCGCCTTTTTCCGAAACAGTCAGGTAGAAAGGGGATTTTAATTTTTTTTTTAACATTTGGTACTAGCTACTCCCACATGTTTTCTCCAGCTGCTTGTCTATTCATTGTAGTGTGGTGTTTTATAGCCTATAAATATCCTCGACAAATGGAGTATCCAAATCAATCAAATTGGTAAAAATAATTATACAAATCGAACTAGTAGTTTCGGAGATTAGCACGGTGAAACAAACTCTTCAATTTTATGTAATACTTAAAGTATAGATCAAAGAAATTCATCCAATTGAAGTACCTATATTAACATCCAGGTGTTTGAAAATAAAGACCAATTTATTGCAAATACTAGTTATGCCATAAAAATATCCAATTAACTTGATACTCCTCGATTATTTGCTTGATGGAATGGCATCGTTAATGGCTTGGTTATGGAACCTGTTGCCAGTGCACTTGTGTACTTTAAGCTCAAGAACCTGTACTCATAATCATAACGGTTTATTATTAGTATGTTCTAATTAATTTTAGCTATGAAGGCTTACTACAACTTCACATAACA